AAACTTTCCTAACCCGCTTCGGTGATTTCTATCTATGCTGGGCAGGACTCAGACGATAGTAATCTTTGGTTGCTAGGCATTCTGTCCTCAGCCACCAGGTAACAATTGGGCTATCTGTGGCCCAGGAAAATGGGGGGGGGCCCCCACAGGATCTTGGATTGTGGTCAACAGGACCCTCAGAATCCTAGCCCTAAGCCTGCCAGGTACCAGACATCCTGCTAGAGCACCAGGCTATTGCAGCCTTGAGGAGTTTGAGGAACTTGACTCTGGTCAATGAGCCCTCCAGAAACTCCTGGCTTAAACTACACCACACACCTGACTCCCACAGGAGGCTGCTTCCCAAGATGCCTCTCCAAGGAGGGTCCATCCCAGGTGCACCTCAGCTTGGGACAGGCTTTGTAATTACCCTCTTAGTGGAGGCATAATCTCTCATCATTTTGCTTTTTCCTACCCCTTTTAGAGGTAGGAGCTCTGACCTCTCTCCATTCACTGAGCCTGTGGAAGGACGTATAGGCTGTTTCCTGGTTTGAGGCTGTCATTTGTGACAGTGGCGGGAAAATCTCTGCAGACAGGGCTTTTGCAGATAATTCATGCTTTAGGAGAGAAGTTGGTCTGCTGCTGTGTGGGGAAAGAGTTTGGTTTTCAGCAGGAGACACATGTTCCTGTGCATGGTTACACACAGGCAAGAGACCTGCGTGTGTGTTCAAATCTCTGCCACTCCCCAGGTGTGTAAGCATGGACAGTCCTCATTTGTAGAGTGTGCAGTGCAAACTTCCCCCTCATAGCCCCATCTCAACTGCCCACAGGGGCCCTGGGCCGTCCACTTTGAAACCCTGAGCATGTACCACCATATGCTCACTATTTATTTATCATCGCATGACATGGTTTTTCTCCTCCCACTAACAGATAAGCAGCAGGTGGATGGGGGCTCTGTGTCGCATCTCCCATGCAGAGGATGAAGCAGCCACACACACACTCACCACCTGCTTCCCGAAACTCAGTGAAAGAGGCCCAATGGGGGTGAAGAGAAGTGTTTGCTCATACACAGTGATCTGATTTCTTGACCCACTGCATGCCCAGTGGGAGGGAAACCCCCAGGAATTCTCTCACAGGTGAGGCTAGAGTGACAGGTGCAGAGTCAGGGCTGCCTGAAGGTCAAGGGGAGCCTACATTTGTGCTCCCTTTCCTCTCCCCCTTTAAAAAGTATTGTAGAATCTAATTTAATTTTTATTCTTTTTTTTTTTTTTTTTTTTTGGAGACAGAGTCTCTCTCTGTCTCCCTGGGTAGAGTGCCGTCTCAGAGTAACCTCAAATTCCTGGGCCTAAGTGATCCTCCTGCCTTATCCTCCTGAGTAGCTGGGATGACAGGTTCCTGCTATGATACCTGGCTAGTTTTTCTAGTTTTTGTAGAGACAAGGTCTCACTCTTGGTCAAACCGATCTTGAACTCCTGAGCTCAAATGATCCTCCTGCCTCAGTCTCCCAGAGTGCTGGGATCACAGGCATGAGTCGCTGTACCCGGCCTTTAATTCATTCTTATCAGTTATACATCTTCATACTTTAAAGAGCCCCCTCCTCTTTCTGCTCACCAGAGGGGAAACTTTGGCTTGATCCTTCTGTTGGTGACCTCCAAGGCCACTCGTCGCCTGGTGCTCCTTGTGGTCACCTTCACGGCTGTCCATATCCTGGTCCCTTGGTGGCCACCTCCACAGCTGTCCCTGGCCTTCTCTGTTGGCCCCAGTAACTGCTCAGGACCACATCCCTGCACGTTCCCATCCCTCATTCCTCCCACAAAGTCTGCAGGAAATGTGGTTAGGTCAACATCAGTGTTTTCATGTTAATTAATGTTTATATTATAAATGTTTACATGTTGCACTTTTGCAGATGCTATTGACAACCAAGCCTCTAGTACAACACAGTGCCTTGGCTCTCGCTGAGAAATACATCTCTCTGTTTTCCCAGTATTTAATGATTGCTGTAGGTTTTGATCAGTTTTTTTATTTTATTCCTTGTCTGTCTCTCTCCATCACCCCAACCTCCTCTCGGTGCAACACACACAGTATGTGTCAGTTGTCTTCATGGAGATAATCTGCCCGACCTGGAGTCCCCTGGGTAGAAAACAAGAAAAAGAGGAAGGAGCTGGTCCAAGGTGGTGCCTGTGGGCTGCTGTGGGGCTTTGGTGGACCCTGAGCAGGTGCTTCCTGGGCCACTGCAACTGCCATGGGAACCCACTGAGGGGCTGACAGGGCACCAGGAGGGGGATTCAGCAGGAGTCCAGGTGGGAGCAAGGGTTCCTCGGGGCCACGTGGGAGCAGTGGAGATGTGGGGCCTGGTCCAGTCAACCTCTGGGAGAATTTTCAGGAGAAGTCAAGAAGACTGGACACAGGGTGGGAAGGAAGGAAGCAGTTGTATGACTGAGTCCTAGGAACAAAGGCAACTTGAGAAGTCTGGGCATGGTGGCTTTTCAGGGGAAGACCAGCATGGCTGGATGTCTCTTGGGCATCACAGTGGGATGCCAGGGGACACTTAATAGCCTTCTCTGCCCACATTCTGATGTGTCTGGATCATGCTGGTTTGGCTGCTGTGGGCTCACTTCCGCTTACTGCTCACTGTACAGGACATTCAGTGGCCCTTCATGCTGCTAATTTTCTTGAATTTCTTTGATGATCAACTCCACTCTCTCTTCTTTGCTTTCCCTTCCTGAAAATACAATATTTTGCACATTGGACATCCTGACCCAGCCCACTGACTTTGTTTCCTGTCCTGTTTTTCCTCTCTTGGTTTTTTTGGTTCCATTTCTGGGAGATTTCCCTAACTATATTCTCCAGCCCTTCCATCAAGGTTTTTACTTGGATTGTGGTAGTCTTAATCTCCAAGACCAACTTTGTGTTATTGGAATGCTCTCTCTCAGAGCACAGCCCTGATGGGTCCACTGTGCTGAAACTGGGAGGAGGCAGGGACCCTTTGTGGATGACACCCAGCAGGGCAGTGACCAGAGTCCCAGCAGTTTGGGTTCTGCCCCACACTCAGTATCACAAACTTCCCCCAGATCCAGATGCTTCCTCCCAGGAAACCCTTCTCAGACTGGA